GGCGGCCGGGGAGTCTGCAAAGCAGCAAAGAAGGCTGATGGGGGGCGAGTGGAGGGGACCCAGGGAGGTGGCGTTGGGGACAAGGGGGACGCAGGGAGACGGATGAGGAGGACGCTGGATCTTGGTCCCCGGGGACTCTCAGAAAGGTGGGACGGCATGCCCCAAATGCCACTGTGGGGAGCCACCACAGGGACAGAGGGAGGAGGGGACCCTCTGGGGACACAGGGCTGTCTGCAGAGGTGGCTGCAGGTCAGGTGCTGGATGCAGAGTCCACTCTGAACACAGAGCAATGGGCGTCACTGGTCCAGGGACAGAGTCTGGCTACAAATCCTTCCCCGAGCCTCCCTTTCCCGGGCCTCCCTTCCCCGGGCCTCCCTTCCTGAGCCTCCCCTCCCCGAGCCTCCCCTCCGAGCCTCCCTTCCAAAGACACGGCTGGAACCCCCTGCCAGGATCCCGGGCTGGACTTGTGCGGCAGGAATGACTAGGTCACCATGGGTGCTGTGGCCCCCGTGCTCTCTGCTGTGGCCCCTCAGAGGACCAGGCACAGCGAGGGTGCTCACACAGCCCGGGGTCACATCAAGGGAGAGTTCAGGGCACAGGGACAGCAAGTGCCCAGGGACGAGGAGGCCGCTCTCCTTGCATCAGCTCATCCGTCTGTGACAGGCTGAAAGTCCCCGTGCTCGTCCCAGGGCCTGTGGACATGGCACCCCCAGGGCAGAGGGCTCTGAGGTGGGATCAGGGGAGGCCCTGGGCTGGGGTCACCCAGGGTCACCTCAGGGTCCTCATGGGAGGAGGCAGGAGGGTGAGAGTCAGGAGCCGGGGGACGCTGGGCTGCTGGCCCTGGAGCTGAGGAGGGGACGGGACGACCCGGGGGGCGGGCAGACTGTTTCAGACTCCTCGAGTCTGTCACTGTGAGATGGCCAATCGGTGTCCCTCAGAGCCACTGAGTTCCCGCAGGAAACACACAGGCTCTCCCCCAGCGGGAACCCTGGCTGCCCTGGGCGGGGGCAGCCGGGCGGGGGCTCTGCCCGGGGAGCCAGCCCTTGCTCAGAGAGGGAAGCGGCTGAGCTCTGACGGGGTCTCTTCCTGCGGCATCCAGGTCGCGTCCGTCCGTCCGTCTTTGCCATGGAGCCCGCGGCTGACTTGCAGCTGGTGCCTGGGGCAGCGGAGGACACACGGGCTCGGGACTCCGCGGGCTGCCGGGCCGCGATTGCCGCGGTGGCGGCCACCAGCCTGCTTGCTGTCACCCTGGGAGCCCTTCTGGGTGAGTGGCGGGGGCTGGCCGGGCTCACAGAGCCAGGGACCCTCAGGAGCCCCGCGCCGTCTCCGGGAGTCCCTGCCCACCCCAGGATCGAGGCTGAGCCGCCCAGCGTGGGTGGAGGCTGACCCTTGGGCCAGTCAGGGGAGCTCTGAGGACCACTCAGGGCAGCACAGGGCTCCTCTCGGGGCCGATGGGGGGCCTGAGATCTGCGTCCCCAGTTGGGGCCGGGTCTCCCGGGGGGGGAGGTGGGGAGGCGCCAACAGGTCCCAACAGGGTGGTCCACCAGACACCAGGCTCAAAGCTGGAGGGACCTGGGTGGGCGTGACACGGGCCACGCCTTCCCCTGCTGGTGGCTCTCACCCTGCCTGTCCTGGGGTCCCTGAGGGGCAGAGCCAGAGCAGAGAGCTCGCGAGAACGTCCCCACATGTGCCAGGCCCGTGTGTGGCGGAGCTTGCTGTCCCCCGGGGAGGCCCCAGTGGCACGGGCTGCCTGGTGGGAGGGACAGTGTACCCAAGATGCAGTTCCCCAGTCCCTCCGGCCACGTCCTGCTGCCCAGGGGCCGCCTGTGGCTCAGGGGCCACCACTGGACAGGGAGATCTGGGACATTCTGTCGGAAGGCGGCAGCGTGTGGCCGGCGCGTGATGAGGTCTGGGTTGTGCGGAGGTGAGACCGCCGTGTTTCTTCCGTATGTCGATGAAGACAAATAGCAGTTTGGGGAACTTCTCTGGCATGGCAGGATGGTGACCTGTCACGGTGACCCTGTGCCTGTCCCTCCACTGCCAATATTTTAAAAAATGTTTGTCTGAACTGGGGGCAGCGGCTACACCTGCCATCCCTGTGGTTTTGAGAGGCTGAGGCAGGAGGATCCCAAGTTCGAGGCCAGCCTCAGTGACTTAGGAAGGCCCTGGACAACTCAGCGAGACCCTGTCTCCAAATAAGCCTCGGAGGGCTGGGAGGTGGCTCAGTGGTCAGCGCCTGCCTCCAGCCCCAGCTTGGGACGCCCCCTCCCCGGTGTCCCACAGGGGCCCCCTACTGGCCACGGTGCCAAGTGCAACACACTCTGGACCGTGTGTAGTGCGTGTGTGGTGCGTGTGTGTGAACGCGTGTGCAAGGATGTGGGTGTGCACACATGTGCATGTGTGTGGACTGCAGGGGTGTGCATTCGGGGAGAGAGTTCCTCACCTGCGTCCAAGAGGCAGCTGCGCTTTGGGCCGCAGTCCCTGGGTCACTCCTGGGACTTCCTGGACGCTCACTGGGGACACTGGACACTTGACGTGGTGTCCTTGGCCCCTCCCCGACGGCTCAGGAGCCCTGGCCAGGCGGGAAGAGCTCGGCCAAGGACCGGGACCCTCGGGGTCACTTCTGCACCTTCCTGAGCCTGGGTCACGGGGGGTCACGGTCACAGCGGGTTGTCCTGTCTGCGCTGCCCGCGGGGCGAGCCTCCTCCCTGTGGCTGCCAGGGCCAGACGCCCCAGGAGCCCCTGAGACAGGGGGGTGGGCAGAGGGGACGCCATGCTGCCCCGTGGTTGCGGCTGTGACCGGCCAGGCTGCTGTGGAGGCCCCCAGTCCCCGTGGGAGGTGCCTCCTGGCCTCTGGTGGCCGTCGTCCGTTCTTGTCCCCGGTCCTGCTCTTTGGGCCCAGTGACTCCCACGGGTAGGGCCCAGGTGTTCCTGGAGGCTCCCGGGGACAGTGGCTCGCTCAGGCCCTCGGGAGGCGGTGGGGACTCTTGCAGTCTCCTGGGAACTTTCCGGGGCCTTGCCCTGTGCCCAGGGGACCTGAGGGCCTGGCCGTGGGCGGCTCTCAGGGGCTCTGGGCTGCCGCAGCCCTCCTGTCCACACAGGGCGTCCAGGTGGAGCACAGCGCCGAGCTGCGGGGCATCCGCTACGCCAGCTCCCTGCTGCAGGAGGACTCCCACTACTACCGCACGCTCACGCCCGCGCTGCAGGCCCTGGTGAGGGCGGGAGGGAGGCTGGGGCTGGGTGGGAGGGAGGCCAGGAGCTGTGCCCTGGGTGGGCGAGGTGGGTCCCGAGGTGGAGGAGTCTGAGCCACTGAGCCCGGCAGGGGGCGGCGGGAGAGGCTGCAGGTCCTCCACGTCTAGCCCCCGTGCCCGGCCGGGCTCCCAGGAAGGTCCCTGGACTCGGCGCCCGGTGCAGCTCGGGGACGGGGGGCTCACTGCCCACTCGGCTCCACACAGGCGGTCCGCACAGGAATGTCCCGGGCGGGATTCAGGGTCCCCCTGCGCCTGCCGCTGCTCACTGGGTGCCAGGCCGGCAGGTCCCTCCACGCCGGCTCTGGCTGAGGACGCCGCAGGAGGACGGGCGGCGCTGTGTGCCCTTCATTTTCAGGGGACACTTGTTCTGTCTGCACCTCCACTTGGTGGCTCCCTGGCCTTGCGGCCCCCTGAGCTTCGGGGCGAGGCTTGCTGCCTGGCCGTCCCTGCGGGGAGGGGCCGGGCCCACCCTGTCCTCTTGCTGGGCCTCACCTGGTGGCCTCCCTCTGCAGTTTGTGAGCAGCTTCCGGGAGACGGAGCTGGAGGCCGTCTGCACGGGCTGCACGGTGCTCAGCTACCGGTGAGTCCTCCTCCGAGGGGAGGGGCCTTGGTGGACAGCCGGAGACCCCTCAGGGCCTGTCCCCACCCTCAGGGACGGGAACGCCAGCGTCCTGGTGCGCTTTCGGCTGCACTTCCTGCGCGCGCTCCGGCCACCTGGCCTGGACCTGGAGGAGGAGCTGCTCCGGCAGGGCCTGCGGGCCAGCCTGCGGGGTCGCGGGGTCCCCCTGGCCGCCTACGGCACCATCGTGTCGGCAGAGCTCACGGGTGAGTGGAGCTGGGGACCGCCGGCCAGCTGTGCTCGGGTCAGAGCCACGGCTCCCCTTCCCAGGTCCCTGCTGCCCTGGGCAGGCCTCAGGTTTGCCCTGGGAGCACCGTGGGACTCTGACCCACCCCGTCAGTCACTTCTGCGTCCAGAGGGTCCACACTGTATGTGCTGCCCGCCAGGCCGCCCTGGAGTAGCCACCGTGGTCTGCAGGCTGACCGCCGAGGGGTCGCCGTGCCTGCCGTCACGTGGGGCACGGCTGTGCACACCTGTCACCTGCTACCCGGGAGGCCAAGGCCAGAGGGTTGTTTGGGCCCAGGAGTCCGTGACCAGCCGGGCAGCACGGAGACCTGTCTCTTCCTACATAAGGGAAGCGCTTGTGTCGGCTCATTTCACGAGAGCCAAGGTGCCGGCCAGTCCCCCGCAGGGTGCGACTGCAGCGCTCTTTCTGGTGTGTGTGGCCCAGGAAGGGCCCAGGATGGACCGCTGGGCACACCCCTGCCTCGTTTTCTTTATTTAGAGACGGGGTCGGGCTAAGCTGCTTAGCACTCACTGAGTTGCTGAGGCTGGCCTCGAACTTGCCAGCCTCTTGCCTCAGCCTCCTGAGCCGCTGGGACTCCCGGCGTGGCCATGCCCAGCCCCACCAGGACGCCGTAGGTGTGCGTCACCACGCTTGGTGTCCTTGTTCCGTTTTGTGATCCGCCTTTTGTGGAGCTGGGTGACCCCAGGGCCTGGCAGGTGCAGGCTGAGCTCTACGCTGAGCCACTCCGGCTAGTTCCTGTCCATTTCCCAGCTGCATGTCGCGGGTGAGCGCGGGGGGAAGGCCTCCTACGTACCGGTCATCTGGCTCCAGGCGTCCACTGGGCTCTGGGACCGTGCCTCCCAGGGAGAAGGATCCTACTGCACAAAACAAGGATGGGCGTGGCCGTGTGTCAATAAAACTTTATTGACCATCACAAGGGCCCACCCTTGCCACAGAAATAGGGGCAGACTCAGCACTCGAAAGCCACAGGGTGGGGACGGTCTCTCTGGAGAGTGGACTGGGAGCCATTCCGGCTGCTGAAGGTCAGATTTGTCAGTTGCTGTCCAGGACCTCCGCGGTCCCCTCTGGCTATCCTAACGCGCTGTCCAGGCTGGAGTGACCACACTGCAGCACCCTCCATCAGGACTCTCCTCTGTGGCAGAAATGTTCCCTCTGCCCCGTCCATAAGGCAGCTGCCAGCGCTGGTGGCTGTTGACGAGCTCCCAGGCGGGGGCTGGGCACAGCTGCTGCCCCTGACCCGAGTGGGCAGCTGACCTTCAGGGTGACCTTCAGTGTGAGTTCGCAGGGACACCAAAGAAAACACAGACGGCCTTACCCAGCCCCAGGCGGCTCCTCCACCCTGGTCTCAGGCTCCGAGGGGCCGGGAGAGCGCGGTCATGGGGGCCCCTCGTTCTTGGAAAGTTCCATCTAAAAGAGGCCAGGAGGGCAGGGTTACAAGGACAGTGAGTGTGACTCAACCCGGGGTGACTCCGACATCGGAAGACACGCCCTCAGCTCCTGGACCAGGAGCCGTGGTCAGGGCCTCGGGGCCTCTCGCTGCAGGACGGAGGGCGCGGGCCTCAGAGCGGCCCCCGCGTGGCAGGGGCAGGCTGGAGAGGCAGCTCCCGGGCCCTCGGCCACCGCGCAGGGCCACTAAGGGAGCCCGCGGCCCAGCCAGCACCTGTCCTCTGCTCTTCCTCAGGCAGCCGCGGGGGACCTGGGACAGCCACCGAAAGAGACTTAAAGTCAGGTAGGCGCCATGGTCAGCCCCTCCGAGCCCACGGTGGCACCCTGTCCTGGGCGGCTCCTGCGGGAGGCTCCAGAGGGCCCTGAGGACCGGCCGTGCCGCGCTGCCGTGCGGAGGTGTCCACACGCGGGAACCAGTTTAAAAGGGGCCGTGGTCAGGAAGCTCCCCACGTGGCCTGCCCGGCCTCCACCCCTGCCCAGGCGCATCCTCCGTCGGGGCCGGGTGGACCCTGGGGACCCTGGGCCATGTCAGCAGTGGGGAGCTCCTGGCCAGAGAGGTGGAGACCAGGGACACGGCCCAGCACCCTGCAGGGCCCAGGACACCCCCAGAGGTGGACCGCTCTGGGTCGCAGCACCCAGGTGTGGAAACCCTGCGCTGTCTGAGGACACCCGCCTGCTGGCCCCAGGCCAGGCGCACCCGGGCCTCGCCCCACTCAGCACTGGGCCTCAGGGGGCCGGTGATCGCGGGGCACAGGGCTTCTGGGGGTCCAGGGACCCCTGACCCAGAGGTCTCACCAGGTGGCTCTGTCCCCAGGGAGGCTGAGCCATACCTGGGGACACGATGGCATCACGTCTGGGGTGTCCTGGCCGCGTGTGGTGGGGCAGGACACACCCCAGGGAAGGACCACGGCCACAGAGCCCAGGGTGGTGGCCCTGGATGTCCGGGAGCAGCCCCTGTGGCGAGTCCCGCCGTGGGCATCGTCCACCGGAGGACAGGCCAGCTCAGCGAGCTGGGGTGGAGGCTTTGGTTTCTGGGGTGCGCCTGCGCCCCCCTTGCCTGGCCCCACAGAGGTGTGGGCTGTGCCCAGGGCCTTGCTGTCCTGACCCCCCGTGGGAGACCTGGGCTCAGGAGCCGGCTCCGCCCTGCTCCCCCCTTGGCCCTGGGGGGATTTGTTGTTGACCCGTGGTCTCAGCCCCACGGGCCGAGGCTGGGCCTGGCATTCACCATGTCACCGTGGCCAGCAGCCACCTCAGCCACGTCACCTCCTAGCCACGCCCTTGCTGAGGCCAGAAGGCGCCTGCCCAGGGCCTTCCTGCCCATGAGGAGGCAGCTGGCCGTGGGTACTGCCCCCGGCCCGGTGGCCAGCACTCAGGACGCCTGTCACGGAGACCACAAAAATCACGAACAAGAAATAGCTTTATGGGGGGACGGGACCACACCGCCGGTCACTTCCCTGTCCTCTAAGAGGGTCACTGGCTGTCCAGAGAGGCCGAGAGCTCAGAGGCGTCTCCTCGGTGGTGGCCCCAGCTGGCCAGCTCTGGGCGAGGCTGGGAACTGGGTCCTTCTCTGCCCTCAGGCCACTGCCCGGGGAGCTCCTTCTCCTGCCAGAGCCAGCAGTGTGTGGACACAGTGAACCCCGAGTGTGACGACAGGGTGGACTGCGCGGACGGGTCCGACGAGGCACACTGCGGTCAGTCCGGCCGGGCTCCAGGGCACGTCCCCGTCGCAGGGCCCACGGCCGACTCTGCGTCCACAGCGCACATGGCACAGGGGCACCCAGCAAGGGAGGGAGGGGGCCCGGGCCCGGGGCGGTCCTGGACAAACTGTGGGAGCCTGAAGGCCAGCAGCTGGACTCGGGAGAGTGTGACGCGCAGCCGACATTTTCCTAGCAGATGTAGCCCATGCAGAAAGGTAAGAAAGGGGACAGGGACACTGCACAGGGCTGCCCGGGCGTCGTGGGGCCAGGGTTGCCCAAGGAGGTGCGACAGGCGCAGTGGGAAGAGCCTCGCTCGTCACCGTCACCGTCACCGTGGCCTGAGGCCCGACCGAGCTCCTGCTGCAGGTGGCCGGGTGGGCATTTGCCTACAGATGACGAGACGTGGCTTGGGGAAGGGACACAGGTCGACCCAGAGCCCTGCCCTGTTTCACGACTCCTCAGACGCACGGCCGGAGCAGCGTCACACAACACGGTCCCTAATCTTGACACCATGCGGGGGCGGGACTTTCCCGGGTGCCTGGAGGGACTTCAGGCGTTTGGTGAGGACAGTAACAGGTGGCCCTGGGCCGGCTCGGAGTGGGGCACCTGCCAGCATGTGCGAGGCCCTGGGCTCCTTCCTGACCCCTCCATAAATTTTTTTAAAACCCTGGACCCTGTGAGCTGGGCGCAGTGGCCACTCGTGTCATGCCAGCGCCAGGGAGGCTGAGGCAGGAGGTTGGCAGTTCAGAGCCAGCCTCAGCCACAGCGAGGCGCCAAGCAGCCAGAGAGACCCTGTCTCTAATAAGGTGCCACCCAGGGCTGGGGTGGCCCGGTGGCTGAGTGGCCCTGAGATCCGTTCCTGGGACCAAAACCAACACTTGGTCCTGGTGGAGCTCTGGGAGGAGGGGCCCGAGGCTGCCCGGCCGTGGGGCAGCGGTCAGGGGAACGGCCCTCAGCCATTGCACCTGTGGACCCTGCGCTGGGTACCGTTGGCCACAGTGGGGGGTCCCCGAGGCCCCCTCAGGTTCCGTGAGCCCCAGCAGGTCCTGCAGCCACAGGGGACCCAGGAAGCCGCCGGGCTCCCTGGCCCTCCCCACAGAGGACGGGAAGGCGGGGGCCGAGGCGGCAGTGGGAGGGCCCGAGCCGGCCAGCGGCACCTCTTGAGCCTGTGACGAGTGTCCACACACACCAAAGCTGCAGCGAGGGCCGTCGTCTGGCCCAGGAGTCCAGGGCTTCTGCTGGCCACTCACAGAGGCCAGGCCTGCCCGGCGGGTCGTGGCGTGTGGGGCGTGGGCCGCAGTCTGCAGGCGGCCTGGCTCCGAGGCCCCTCCCCTGCCCCTGTCCCCCTGGTGCCCTTTCTGTGAGGACCGGGCGGCTTCTCGGGCCCCACCCGCACTGACCCCATTTGCCAATGCGGCCACACTCGCGGCGCTGGGCTCAGGGTCCAACCAGGGCCGACCCGAGTCTCACTGGCCCTGCCAGGGCAGGACCTGGGGGCCACAGGGCGGTGCCGGTCACCCGCAGCGCTGGGCGGGGAGGTGGCAGAGGGTCCCACCTGTCCCCACTCCTGGCACCGACAGAAGGCACCGAGCAGTGCCGGCCGTGGGGACCCACCCGACACTTCCCCTCCAAGGGCCTGTGCCCTGTGCAGGGGGGGACACGGCGTCCTGGGCTCGGGCCACAGGAGTGACGGGCGCTGGCCCGCGTGGCCGCCTGTGTCTTGCAGACTGCGGGCTGCAGCCGGGCTGGAGGTCAGCGGGCAGGATCGTGGGCGGCGTGGAGGCCGCCCCCGGGGAGTTCCCCTGGCAAGCCAGCCTGCGCGAGGACCAGGAGCATTTCTGCGGAGCCACCGTCATCGGGGCCAGGTGGCTGGTGTCTGCCGCCCACTGCTTCAACGAGTGAGCCCTGCCCCCTCCAGAGTTGCCATGTCTCTGGGCTGGGCCTCTGTGCCCTCCAACCAGTCCTGCCCCTGGCTCACCTGGCTCTGCGGCTGGGAGGCCCTGGGCGTCCTGAGGGCGTGTGGGCAGTCCCCGTGCATGTGTGTGGGAGGGTCCCGCGCGCGTGTGCGTGTGTGTGTGTGTGTGTGTGTGTGTGTCGGGCGGGACGGTCCCCGTGTGAGGGCGGGGCCTGTGTGTCCTCAGCTCTGTCCTGTCCTCCTGAGGCGCTGCCCGGTCCTGCCCTGCCCGGGAGGCTCTGTGGGAGGTGGCGCTCACCGTGGTGTCTGCGGTGCCTTCCGGGGGCTGCTGTGGACCAGGCCGGCCCGAGGCCAGGTGCTGCCAGGTCCCCTGGTCCCCTGGGTGCTCCCCGGACGCAGGACTGCTGGGCCGCGTGGCCTCTGGCTCTTGCAGCCCCAGGAAGGCCCGACTGCCCACGTGCCACCGGCGCCCTCAGTCTCCGAGCCGTGGGCAGCGGCCTCCTGGTGGCTCCCCTGCGTCCCTCTCAGGATGAGCGAGATGGTGGATGTCTGACCCCTGTGGACTTGGCTGCATTCACTTTGGTTTGTGTGCCCACGTGCGTGTGTGTGTGCGTGCATGGGGGTGGTACCGGGACTTAACCCTGCTGTTCCACTGGGCCACACTCCTGGCCCTTTTTATTTTTTCTATTTTGAGACAGGGCCTCCATAAGTTGCTGAGGCTGGCCTTGAACTTGAGAGCCTCCTGCCTCAGCCTCCCAGGCGCTGGACAACAGGCTGGCCACCGCGCCCAGCCATTGGGACAGCTCCCCCTGAGCCTGTGTGGAGGCCTTTCCTCCCTCGCGCCGGGGGTCCTGTCCTTGGTGCGCTGATCAGGCTTTGTCTCTGCAGATTCCAGGACCCATCCCAGTGGGTGGCCTTCACGGGCACCACCCACCTCAGTGGTTCGGAGGCCAGCGCCGTGCGCTCCCGGGTGGTCCGGATCGCCAAGCACCCCTCCTACAACCCGGACACGGCCGACTTCGACGTGGCCGTGCTGGAGCTGGCCCGGGCCCTGCCCCTGGGCAGGTACATCCAGCCCGTGTGCCTCCCGGCCCCCACCCACGTCTTCCCACCAGGCAGGAAGTGTCTCATCTCGGGCTGGGGCTACCTCAAGGAGGACTTCCGTAAGCACCTGTGAGGGTCCTGCGGGCGGGAGGGCAGGCGGGCAGCCACCAGCCTCGGCCTGGGCCAGCAAGCCGGGCACTGCTGTCCTCGCCTCCCGAGGTTCTGCCTTTGCAGACTCCGAGTGACTAGTGGGACTTCCGGGGTCAGCCACAGACTCCGCCCGCTGGGGGCGAGCCAGGGCGGACCCCCACCAGCCCGGCCTCCCCCAGGGGGCACCCCAGCCTCGCATATTTGATTTTAAGGCCAGCAGAGTCTTGTGGGTCGCTGAGGGCCTCTCTGATTTGCTGGGGCCGGCCTTAGCCTTCAAGCCTCCTGCCTCAACCTCCCAAGGGCTGGGAGACGGGCGTGGCCGCTGGCTCAATTGCCGGCTGCTCAGGTTCCGGCAGAGCCCAGCAGGGCGCGCGGGGGCTTTGCTGGGAACACCTGCCTGTCCTGGGGCTCATCCCCCAGGGGCAGGCCTTCCGGCTAGGCCACCGGCCGAGGCCACCTGGTGCCTTCTGGCTCTGGGTCCTGGTGATTCACGATGGGGAGTGCCCCATGGCGCTGGGGGGCGTCCAGGGTCCTGGAGAGCAGCCTCCATGAGCCTCAGGGGGGCCCGGCACTGGGTCGGGGAGCTACCACAGGGTGCGGGGACGTGCTGCCAGGCAGGGCCTCCTGGTGGGCCACCGTGGGCAGCAGGTGCCCTGCCGGTGGCGAGGGCTCGGTGGGCCTGACTGGAGCCGCTCCGTGCTGCCTGAGGAGCCAGGCCTCCAGGCCGAGTGGACGGCAGGACAAAAGGGCAAGTCCGAGGCCTGGGGCGCCTCCGGAGAGCCACTGGCCAGGGCAGTGGCCCAGGAGCCCGGAGCTGAGGCTGCGCGTCATTTCACTTTAATGCATTTAAACCTCCATTTAAACACTGCAGGTGGCCTGTGGCTGCTGCCTTGGGGACAGGTCCAGGGACACAAGACCAGGGCCTCCCACAACCCAGAAAAGCCAGGCAGGACGGGTGGGGGCCGTGCAGGGGTCCCGGGAGGGTCCCTGGGTGAGAAGCCGGAGAGCAGGCCGGCCGACCTGAGGACCAGCACCCTGGCCGAGCAGCCCAGGCCGGAGCCGGTGGGAACTGAGACCCAGGGAGCAGGGAAGACATGACAGTGAGGTGCCAGGCAGAGCGAGGGGTCGCGCAGACGGGACCAACAGCGGCCTGAAAGGGGGAGCCGAGGTCCCCAGGAGGAGGCTGGAGGCAGAGCCGGTGGGGAGGGAGGAGCACCCGACCTGTCCAGGGGGAGAGGGGCCTCTCAGCGCAGCTACCTGTGGCTGGTTTTAGCCGGGTGCTCCCAGATGCCCCACTGACAGCCGGGAAACAGGCTTGGAGAGGAGCCGGTCCTCAGCCTCTTGGCTCGGGGTGGCTGCTGGGGCACCAGAGCTCTCAGCTTGCTTTTCTCTCCCCATCGGGGCAGTGGTCAAGCCAGAGGTGCTGCAGAAAGCCACTGTGGAGCTGCTGGACCAGGCCCTGTGTGCTGGCCTGTACGGCCCCTCACTCACCGACAGGATGGTGTGTGCCGGCTACCTGGACGGGAAGGTGGACTCCTGTCAGGTGAGCTCCCAGGTTCTGCCCATCCCCTTCCCAGGGAAAAGTGTGAGGGGACAGGAGCTTGTCTGGAGGCCCCCGGTGGACGGTCCTGTGGGGAGTCACTGTCAACCTGGTGGGGATGAGCGTCCTTGGTGCTGGCTGTCACCAGGCAACACACTGCCGAGCTCATCGAGTGCGTGCCCAAGGCGTTGACGCAGCCGTGACCCACGCCCTCATGCTGCCCAAGGCCCTCCGCCCCCATGGACACCTGTTCCCTGGGAGCCTCTCCCCCCGCGTCCAGCTCTCCTGAGCTGTGTGGCCCAGGCCGTCGAGTCGATGCTCAGCACAGCTGTGGAGCCTGTCCCCGCGTCTGCTCCCATCCCTGAGGGGTGGAGAAGGAAGGCAGCTGTGGCCCTCAGGTCCCCGTGGTGGCTGCGCTAAGAAGGAGCAACAGAGCTGCTCAGAGGCCCGGGCAGGAAGAAGGCAAGGTCCAGGCCAGGCCTCCAAGGAAGGCTGAGCAAGATCTCAGGAGGCCTGTGTGCTGGGCTCCCTGGACCCTGCAGCTCGACTTGTGGCTTGCCTCCGGGAGCCCAGTCCGTGCTGAGGTGTGCCTCCATCTCCTAGGGTGACTCGGGAGGGCCCCTGGTCTGTGAGGAGCCCTCCGGCAGGTTCTTTCTGGCTGGCATCGTGAGCTGGGGCATCGGCTGTGCAGAAGCAGGGCGTCCCGGGGTCTACGCCCGGGTCACACGGCTGCGGGACTGGATCCTGCAGGCAACCTCCACTGCCAGCAAGCCACCAGCCCTGGTTGTGGCTTCTGTCCCCACCGCCCCCAGCACTGCCTGGCTGACCAGCCCTGAGAGCCCTACGGTTGACACTCCCGCCAAGCCCATGCAGGCCACCAGCCCTGCACCCCTGGACTCCTTCATGGCTCCTAAACCACAAGGTAACTCCCAGGCAGAGCCGCAGGCCAAAGTCGGCTGCTATGCAGGGCTGGACTGGCTGGTACTGGCTTTCTGAAGCGCCCAGTGGGAAGGAGATGATGGGGACCGATTACTGATGTCTGCCATGTGCACGAGCATAGGAAATGTGGCAGGTTGGTTATCCTCCAATTTTACATTGAAACTTTTTATTTATTTCTTTATTGTTTTTTGGTACCAGGGATTGAACTCGGGGCACTTGGTCACTGAGTCACATCCCCAGCCCTATTTTGTATTTTATTTAGGGTCTCACTGAGTTGCTCAGGACCTTGCTGTTGCTGAGGCTGGCTCTGAATTTCTGTCTCAGCCTCCTGAGCTGCTGGGATGAGAGGCGTGTGCAGTGCACCGGCTCCTGTTGATTTTGTAACCAGTTTTCTGATGTAAACTATGCAGTTCACTCTTTCAAAGTGTGTAGTTCAGTGGCTATTGGTACATTCGCAGAGTTGTGCAGCCATAACCACTAGTTCCAGAATATTCCAACAACTCAAAAGGAAGCCCACCCCATGAGCAGGCCCCCACCCCCCCAGCTCTGCACCCACAGTTCCACATCCTGTCTGGACTCTCCTGTCACTGGTCACACGCTGTGGCCTTGCGTGTCTGACTCTCACCAAGCACAAGGTCCTCAGGTCCCTCCACACTGCAGCTGTGTCACCTTGCTCCTGCCCGTGAGGGTTGCTCCAGATGTGGGTCCCTGTATCATTCACAGACACCTGGACTGTTCCTCGGGGACAGGATGGGAGGGCGTGCCTTAGCTCCTGGGGGTGTATGTGTAGGAGTGGGATTGCTCTGTTGCATGGTGACTCCTGTGTAAGACGTGAGGACCCCTCACTGAGGCTTCTCCTCACTGAGACCTCGTTCTTTGATGGCAACCGTGTTGGGCCCCTGGGAGGACACATCGTACCTGGAGGGCCAGAAGCCTGGGTGCAGAGGCCCACAAAGACCCCCTGACAGATACTGCCCAGGACTGGGTCCAGCCTTAGCTGACCATGTGCTGACCTGCTAGGCCTCTGAGCCCATGACACCCATGCTGCCTCTCACTGTCACCTGCATCTTGTCCCCAGATCCCAGAGAACCATCTCCACTATCTCTGAGCGCCCTGGGCCCTCAATGTGTAGCCTGCTCTGTGGCCATGCGCCTGGTGCCTGGGAAGCCCACGGGGCTGTCACCACCTGCTGCCCAACCCCAGGCAGGACACCTGGGGCCTCCACAGCGTACTCTGCAGAATAGGGTGACTCAGCCAGACAGCTGTACTCAAGCATCCCAGGGCCCTCCACGCCTAGGATGCTGTGTCCGCAGTGGACAAGGGCACTCGGACCCCTCTCTCTTGTCTCCTGGCAGAGTGCGGGGCCCGGCCTGCGATGGAGAAGCCCACCCGAATTGTGGGTGGGCTTGGGGCTGCGTCTGGGGAGGTGCCCTGGCAGGTCAGCCTCAAGGAAGGTCCAAGGCACTTCTGCGGAGCCACCGTGGTGGGTGACCGCTGGCTGCTGTCAGCTGCCCACTGCTTCAACCAGTAAGGCCCCGGGATCGCCCACCCCCGATCTGACCCTCAGCATTCAGTGCCTACCACCGAGTGCGCACCGCGCAAGCCGCGTCTCAATGCTCGGGGCACCTGGGCCGGAGGACTCAGGGCCTGTGGGGACGGGAGGAGGAGGGCGCCTTCCCCACTTGGCGGTCAGCCAGACAGCCGCCCAAGCTCCCTGGTGGGGGGCTGTTTGTCCAGCAGCCCTGAGGCCCAGCATCCTTAGCCCCGCCCTCCCTATCCAAAGCCCTCCCCCACCTCCCCTGTCCTCCCTACCCTTAGCCCCTCCCCTCTACCCATGGCTCCTCCCCTCCATTCTCCCTACCCGTAGCCCCACTCCCTCACCTACCCCTCCTCCTGCACTGCTCTTACCCATAGATCCTTTCCACCTACCCTCCCTACCCGTAGCCCCGCCCCTACCCTGCCCCACCCACTGTTCCTACCCAGCTCCTCCCTCCACCTCAGCCCCGCCCCTCCCCGCCCATAGCGCCTCCCCTGCCCACTCTACCCACAGCCCCGCCCCTCCCCACCCATAGCTCCTCCCCTGCCCACAGCCCCGCCCCTCCTCACCCATAGCTCCTCCCCTGCCCACTCTACCCACAGCCCTGCCCCTCCCATAGCGCCTCCCCTGCCCACTCTACCCACAGCCCTGCCCCTCCCATAGCGCCTCCCCTGCCCACTCTACCCACAGCCCCGCCCCTCCTCACCCATAGCGCCTCCCCTGCCCACTCTACCCACAGCCCCGCCCCTCCCCACCCATAGCTCCTCCCCTGCCCACTCTACCCACAGCCCCGCCCCTCCTCACCCATAGCTCCTCCCCTGCCCACTCTACCCACAGCCCCGCCCCTCCCCACCCATAGCGCCTCCCCTGCCCACTCTACCCACAGCCCTGCCCCTCCTCACCCATAGCTCCTCCCCTGCCCACTCTACCCACAGCCCTGCCCCTCCTCACCCATAGCTCCTCCCCTGCCCACTCTACCCACAGCCCTGCCCCTCCCATAGCTCCTCCCCTGCACTCTGTACCCATAGCCCCGCCCCTCCCCACCCATAGCTCCTCCCCTGCCCGCTCTACAGGTCCCTCCACCCATGGCCCTCCCCCTCCACCCACCTCGCCTCCCTCACAATTTCTAGCCAGTCCCTCCCCTCCCTATCCATAGCTCCTCCCTTGCCCTCCCTACCCTGCAGCCTCACACCCACCCCTATGCCCGTCCATCCCCATGGCCCGCTGTCCTCCAGTTGGGCGCATCGGGGCCCCTGTCTCACAGCACCAAGGCCGAGCGCGTGCAGGCCCACCTGGGCACCGCATCACTCCTGGGCGTGGGCGGGAGCCCTGTGAAGCTTGGGCTGCGCAGGGTGGCACTGCATCCCCGGTACAATCCTGGCATCCTGGACTTCGACGTGGCGGTGCTGGAGCTGGCCAGCCCCCTGGTCTTCAACAAGTACATCCAGCCTGTCTGCCTCCCCCTGGCCATCCAGAAATTCCCTGTGGGCCGCAAGTGCGTGATCTCAGGCTGGGGTAACACGCAAGAAGGAAACGGTGAGTGCCACCCCCCCGGGGAAGATGGCCTTGTTCTCCAGGCCAGGCCCAGGCAGGGTGGGATCACCTCTCTTCCCCGCGCCCTGGGCTCTGCCTACTCAGAGGCCTGTGTCCACCCTCCGGCCCACCCCTGCTGGCTGCTTCTCTCCCTACACCTGGGGCCACGTCGGCATGCCTGTTTGTGGAGATTGAGAGGCTCACAGTCCACAGCGTTCATGCGGGTGCCACAGTGGCCAAGCTGAGTGGTGGCAACAGAGGCTGCCTGGGTATAGAGCAGAAAACACTTAGTCTCTAGCCCACTATGGAGGAGCTGTGCTGGCCACTGCCGCCCCATTCAGAGCTCCTGCCCCGAGAGTCGGCGTGTCCTTCAGAACCCCAGGATGGCCTTCCCATTGGGGCAGAGTCAGAAGACAGGCCTGGGCTCTGAGCTGGGGGTCTGGATCTGCCTCCTCCTCCCACATGACTTTAAACCAACTGTGACGCTGTAGGCCCCATCTGTTCAACTGCAGCTTGGGGACAGCACCTCCGTCTCAGGCCGTCAGCACTAGGCCAGGCAGTTGGTGGCCACTCACTGAGTGGCGTTTGGACTCTCCTTCTCGGCAGCCACCAAGCCCGACACCCTGCAGAAGGCCTCCGTGGGCATCATCGACCAGAAGGCCTGCAGCGTGCTGTACAACTTCTCCCTCACCGACCGCATGCTCTGTGCAGGCTTTCTGGAGGGCAAAGTCGACTCCTGCCAGGTGAGTCAGGGGAGGTCTCGGGCCTGGGGGACAGGAGGAGGCTCTGCGCCTTCCCCACTTGGCGGACAGCCCGTCTGCCTCCCCCCGGCCATCCAGAAGTTCCCTGTGGGGTCTGGACTAGGTGCCAGCCTACTGGTGCGGGGCTGGTGAAGCGCTCAGCGGGATCTGCAAAGATGAAGCGAAGGGGTTTTCTGTGCAGGGAGCCTGGAGGCTTCCGGGTGCCCCTCGTAGGAGACTGGTTGGGCTGTGGGGTGTGGCTCAGTGGGAAGCACTCTCACAACATGTACCAGGCCCTGGGGTCCATCCCTGGGGCTGGACAAAGATGAGTCAACAAAGCAAAGAATGAAAGGAAGGGCAGCGCAGTGCCCACCTGTGACCCCAGGGGCTGGGGCAGGAGGATCGTGAGTTCAAGGCCAGCTTCAGCAACTTAGCAAGGCCCTGTCTTAAAATAAAAAATAAAAGGGCTGGGGACGTGGCTCCGTTTGGTTAA